CTCTGAATTAACCCCATCAGATTAGGCTTTTTAAAAATAGTGTCTCCTAGGGCAGGCCTTGTTAAGAACAGAATGCTCTAGCATATTTCAAAATGCTTCCTTTTCCCTCCCCCTGCAGGAAGCACGAGGAGATTTTTCTCAGATATTCACTGTGAGGACCTGGTAGAACTCCTGGAGGTAAAACTCACAAAAGTGTGAGGGTCCCCTCTGACTAGGTCCCCCTGGAGTTTGTATCTCTCAGGCCACGCTGAGCCTCCAGCAGTTCGTTAGTTACAGCCCTTTCCCTGGTTTCTGACCTGGTAGATTGTGACTCTCCGTCTCTGTTCGCCTGTCTGTTACCCTGTTGTACATGGCAGTGGTTTGCCCTATGGCCTCACTCCTTTGACGGATCTAGAATTCTTTTTTTTTTTTTTTTTTTTTTTTTTTGGTGCTGGGGATTGAACCCAGATCCTTATACATGCAAAGCAAGCACTCTACCAACTGAGCTATATCCCCAGCCCTCTGGGGAGAATCCTTGACTTTTCAGTTTGTTTAGCCTTTAGCTGTTAGAATAAAGACCTGTGAAACTTCCTTAAATGTCAGACCAGAAACCTGAAATCTTTGGGTATTTTCCAATCTTGCTGGCCCCAACCAATTCTTATGGCAGTGGGCAGGTACCAGAGATTTGCTAGGTAAATTCTAGATGGTCTGCTTCATTAATGCTTGTTGTCTGATGAGTATCATCTTGCTAGCATATAATTGGATTTTTTTAAAGTATAGGATGGAGGGAGAGAATTGATAATTTGAGTACATTGGGATATTTCTGTAGAGCCACATGTTGCCAAAATCATGGGTCTACAGAGTTAAAATTGTCCATTTATATTAGTAGAACTCTTGGAGCTACATCCTCAACAAAATGCAGATGGGTCACCACTTAAAGTGGTTCAGCTGAATGATTTTTTTTTTACTTTAGGAAGGGTTTATTGGGCTGGGGTTGTGGCTCAGAGGTAGAGCATTCACCTAGCACGTACAAGACCCTAGGTTCAATTCTCAGTACCACATAAAAATAAATAAATAAAAGGTATTGTGTCCAACTACAACTAAAAAATAAACATTAAAAAAAGAAATGTCTTTATTATCCTAAAATGAGGAATATATATATATACTTAAGTAGTTTTTATATTTGTGAAGGGGAAAAAATTCTTTTTTCTTTTTGAAGTACTAGGGATTGAACAAACCAGATCAATTCCCACTGAGTTACATCCCCTTTTTGCTTTTTATTTTGAGACAGAGTCTCATTAAGTTACTGAGGCTGGCCTCAAACTTGCCAGTAGCCTCAGCCTCCCAAGTAGTTGTGATTACAGGCATGTGCTACCATTCCTGGGGAAGAAATGTATTTCAAGAGCAAGTTTTCTCTGAAAGTTCATGAAATCAAGATGATGACAAATTTTATTTCTGGAGAAGATAGTTCGCTGGGGCAACTTAAAAATTGGGGAAATGGGAAGAAATTGATGGCTTCTGGGGAGGTTGGGGCTGGGAGGAGGCACAGATCCTTGTGACTTACGCCTCAGTGATATTCATTTATTTCTATTTAACAGCCCTTTACTGGGTGCCTACCATGGTGTCAAGGCCTGCTCTGGGATATGGCAGTGAACAAGACAGACCCAAGTCCTGCCTTCATGAGAGGACTGGGAGTGAACAGTTCAGCAGTGAAATTCTATAGGCAGTACAGACCTGACAGCAGAGCTTTCTAAACATTACTGTCCTGGTCCATCAAGGAGATTCCAATGTAGGAGACAGACCAAGATCCCCAGTAGATGATGATTACTGCCACCATAGCCCTACCGGTGCCACCCGCAGCCTCTGCCTCACAGTATAACAATTGGAATGAGTATTCTAGTCCCAAGGAAAGGGGTATAGTCCAGCCATGGCAGTAGTTAGAAGATGAAAATGCACCCAGTATCGATGTTCAATACTCACACAAGCAGACAAGGAGATTTTAAAAACACTTATCCCGAAACATACTCCCAGAGGAATCATCCTGGTTTTTTTTTGTTGTTGTTGTTAATATTTATTTTTTAGTTGTAGTTGGACACAATAACTTATTTTATTTATTTATTTATGGTGCTGAGGATTGAACCCAGGGCCTCACACATGCTAGGAGGGTGCTCTTCCACTGACCCACAACCCCAGCCCCTCATCTTGTTTTTTGTTTTGTTTTGTTTTGTTTTGTTTTGTTTTGTTTTGTTTTGTTTTTTGTACTGGGGATTGAACTTGGGCACTCAACCACTGAGTCACATCCCCAGCTCTATTTTGTATTTTATTTAGAGACAGGGTCTCACTGAGTTGACTAGAGTCTTGCCACTGCTACAGCTGGCTTTGACCTTGCAATCCTTTAACTCCTGAGCCACTGGGATTATAGGCATATGCCACCTCACCAGACTCATCCTATTTTAATAGGCTGTATAATACTGTATAAAAATATCCTCAAATGATAGAAAATTCTTAGGCTCTGATGCTAGATTATTCTTTTGTTTTCTTTTAATCTTTTGTATTCTGAAATAGGAAACACTTAGAAAAATGCATAAAACATAAAGACATTAGGTTGGGGATGTGGCTGTGGCACAGTGGTAGAATGCTTGCCTTACCACAGCCTGACCTTGGGTTTGATCCCCAGTACCACAAAAACAACCAAACAAAAAAGCATAAAAGATAGTTAAATAATTATAGAGCAAATACCCCTGGAAAGCACCACTCAGCTCAAGCCAGGCGCAGTGGTACACACCTATAATTCTAGGAATTTGAGAAATTCTAGGAGTTTGAGAAAAAAGGATAGCAAGCTCCCGGGCAGCCTCAGCAATTTAGTGAGACCCTGTCTCAAAATAAAAAATAAAAAGGGCTAGGAATATAGGTTAGTGGTAAAGCGTCCCTGAGTTTAATCCCAGGACAAAAGAAAGAAAAAGAAAGGGGAAGGAAGGATTTTTTTCTTTCCAGCCTCAGTCCTCCTGGCTTTTGTGGAGATCTTGTGTTTGCTTTTCTTGCAGTTGTACTACATGTTCATGCAGGGGTTTTGTTTCATTTGGTTTTGATAATCAGGAGTCATTCCAGGTCGTATCTGATAAATTAGGTGAGAGATGGAGCTACCTAATACTATTTTTATCAAAAAAATAATGTAATAATGTAAGCTAGGCATGGTGTGGTGTACACCTATAATTTCAGCAACTAGGAAGCAGGAGGATTGCAAGTTCAAGGCCAGCCTTAGCAACTTAATAAGACCCTCTCTAAAAAAAAAAAAAAAAAAAAACCCACTAAGGATGTAGCTCAGTGGTACAATACCCCTTGGCTTAATGTCCATTACAAAAGAAGGGAGGAGGTCTTTGCTCTAAAGTCATGAGGATGACTTTCTTCTATTCAATATGAACCAGCTGTTGAAAGAAATTCCTAATTTTTGTGCAATGGCAACACACTGTAAGGACTTTTGGTCATTTGAGTATATTAATTCTGGTTCATTTTTTTTTTCAGAATCCCACCAGCCTTGCCCTGGTAAACTATATTTTTCTACCTTTTACCTGGTTAGGTGTTTCTTCAAGGTGATCCTCAGTATTCGTGACCTGGACATATTTGTGGGAAGGGCATATGGTTACTGATTGCCCCAGGGCTTCTATAATAGGGGTGTCCTCCAGATGGAGAGATTTTCTGTAGCAAAAGGTGAGGGATCTTCTAGGGGAAATGCAGTGGAAACTGGAAGGTTTTGACATTGACCTTTCCATTTGTGGTTTTCTTCCCAAGAATTTATTGATTATCTGCTTAGGGTAGTATAGATTTGTCCTTCCTTGTCAATGGAAGAATGAAAAAAGTGATTATTTGTGACTCTTTTATGATCTCCTCTAGTCTTGCTTGGGTAATGTCAGAATCTTTCCCATTTTTATATTAGAAAATAAAACCAAATGAATAATTAATTGTTTGAACAGAAATGATAACACAAGTAGACCACAGCCAGAGTGGCTCTGTGTGAGCGCCCACATGTGAATGGAGAGTGAAAACATTTTGCTTGAGCCAAGATCATTAGTTTAAGCCCCCTGTGGGGATGGTCAGACTAAACTCTAGATCCACTGATAGAATTTATAGAATTTATAATATGAAACCAAAGAAAAGCTCTGAAAAACCAACTGTCCTATGAAGTAGTAGTGTCACAGCTAAGTGAAGTTTGATGGTACTTTTAAAATCTTTTGTCTTCTTATTTAAGAATGCATTATAAACCGAGCTTGGTAGCACATTCCTGTAATCCCAGTTGAGACAGGAGGATCAAAAGTTAGAGACCAGCCTTGGCCCCTTAGTAAGACCCTTTTTCAAAAAGTAAAAAGATCTGGGAGAGGGCTGGGATTGTGTCTCAGTGGCAGAGTGCTCGCCTCACATCTGTGAAGCACTGGGTTCAACACCACATAAAAATAAATAAATAATTAAAAAGTATTGTGCCCATCTACAACTAAAAAAAAAAATTGAAAAAATAAAAAGATCTGGGGAAGCGTCCCAAGTACCCTCAAAAAAATGCATTGTAAAGAAACATACTTTTTTTTTTTTTAAGAATTAAAAGGAACTTATTAGTTTTTAAATACCATCCAGCTCAATGGTACAGCACTTACCTAGCATGCATAAGGCCCTGGGTTTGATCCTCAGTACAGGAAAAAAAAAATTATTTATATCATCTAGTTCATCTCCCATGAACTTGTTGCCTCCAAACACAACAAACAATAGTCCCAGGTGTAAAAGATAGTCTGGTGTCAACTCAGCATTCTCTCTGAATAGTGTTGAGAAAATTCAGTGTGCCTATAGATTTTAGAGGATGCACTTTGCAAACTTCTCCCAATGTGATAAGAGAATAATATTTTTAGTTATGTTTTGTTATATAATCTTAAAGTGGTAGCAGGTAGGCATTAAGAAACTTGTTTGGCATCGTAAGTAATCTATTAAAACTTTTAATAATGAAATTAATTTTTCCATCTTGGTTATATGTTTCACAGGCTCAGAAAAAATGTTTGAATCAGACCTCCCCCATGTCCACTTCCAAGACTGCAGACGGCCTGAGACAAACACAGATCCCTGGGCTCTTGAGCACAGCACTGCCAGGTCAGGAGCCTTTTTAAGCTCTCTGCAGGCCGTCCCTGTCCTCCCAACTCCAGGGGATACTCTCCCCTGCTTCGTTCTGCATGAAATCTTTGACTGAATCTCACCTCCACTCTGATTATTCCTTTTTTTCTATATCCATTCCACAACGAAATCTGGTATTATTTGGCACATGTGATTTTGTGATTGTACTCATGTTGCTTATATACATTTAGAATCCTCCCCCTTCCCCAAAGTAAAAATACTGTGGGTTATATCTGCCATTTTTTCTAAGGCTTTGAACACCTGTAACTACTCAATTAATACTAAAAAAGGAATGAAAGTTTGAGCATTCCTAGTCAGTTCCTTCTTTGGGACTCCTTTCCTTAAGTTTTATTTTGGGGTTCTGAAGTACTTAAGGCCTATTTCTCAGATCATAGATAATGTGAAGTTATAGTGTTTATAGCTCCTGTTTATTACCGTTAGTTTAATTAGTTAGATTTATTACTTAAATAGGCTTTACCAACCCTAATCTCTGCCTCTAAATTTTGTGAATAAATATTCCACCCTACTCCCTTCATGAATCCACAATAAAGAAATTCCTTTCAGCCAGGTGTGGTGGTGCACACCTATAATCCCAGTGACTCAGGAGGCTGAGGCAAGGGGAGCTTACGTCCAGAGCCAGCCTCAGCAATTTAGCATGACTCTGTGTCAAAATTTGAAAAATAAAAAGGGCTGGGGGTATAGCTCAATGGTAGAGCACCTCTGAGTTCAATCCCCAGTATAACACACACACACACACAAACAGAACTCCCTTTCAGAATGTGTGATCACCTGCATATGCTGGACTGTAGGACTATACAGAGGACCTGACTTAACATTTCTGTTGAACATTATCTTCTGTATTAATTCCAATAGGACAGGATTCTGGAAACAAAGTTATGCCGGCATCTTTAGGAACTGCACAGCCACAACAGGAAAAAGCAGTTGGATCATCTCCTGGCCAGCCAGCTGTGCAGGTAGAAAACTATTTGCATAGCTCCTTCTTCATAATTTGCATAACTGAACATTAGTATGGTTGTGTCATCTGGTTTGTGGTTACTATCCTGCATTGTGTGCACAGCCAGCCTGCCCCTATATGTCACACAGTGTGGTCACTGAAGACCTTCCTGGTGGGCCATGCTTGGTTACATTTATGTTTCTAACATTAATGTGTCTAGTGTATTTCTGACATGTTCACAATGCTTCATGAATCCATCATTTCCTCATCAATTAATACCAGCGGGGACTTTGGGTGTAGCTCAGGGGTAGAGCACATGCCAAATGTGTGCAAATGTGTGTTAATCCCTAGTAGCACAAAAAGAAAAGAAAACACACATATACCCATCATCAAATCAAAGCAGATCTGTTTTTAATGTACTGAGAGGTTTTTTTTTTTTGTTTGGTTGGTTGGTTATTTTTTCTTTTTTGCAGTATTAAGGATGTAAGCTCTTTCTCCATCCCTTTTTATTTTTTATTTTGAGACAGAGTCTCAGTGAGTTACTCTTCCTGGCCTCAAATTTACAATCCTCCTGCCTCAGCCTCCTAAATCACTGGAATTATAGGTATGCACCACTGCACCCTGCTGAGAGATTGTTTTTTTTGTAGTAATAAACAGACATGTATGAAGTAGGCAGTCCCTTTAGTCTTTTAAATCTAAAACATTTCAAACCAAAGAAGGAAAAAAAAATGGTTTTTGTCTTCAGCTTTACTATGGCCTTCATTCCATCTTCATGAAGTTTACCAATTAATAGTTTGATAAAACTTGCTGCAGTCTAGGTCTGCCCTGGAATACCCAGTAAAGGATCTGTTCATTTCTCAGGTTCTCACATAAGGTGTCTTTGTTTCCTTAATGATGTAAGAAATGTCTATTATACCTCAGCTTCTTGTAACAGGAGCTTCAAAGTGTTTGCTTCCTCGTTTACCACTGAGAAAATGGATTAAGGGGCTGGGGATGTGGCTCAAGCGGTAGCACACTCGCCTGGCATGCGTGCGGCCCGGGTTCGATCCTCAGCACCACGTACAAACAGAGATATTGTGTCCGCCGGAAAAAAACTTAAATAAATAAATAAATTCTCATATTCTCTCTTTCTCTTTCTCTCTCTCTCTCTCTCTCTCTCTCTCTCTCTCTCTCTCTCCCCCTCCCCCCCCTCTTTAAAAAGAAAAAGAAAATGGATTAAGTAGTGTCTACTGAGTTTTCAGGTGTTCATGATATTGGCACCCAAACACATTTCTTCCAAAATATAAAGATGCTTTTTGTAGAAGAAGTTTGAGTGTTTAGGCTTTAAAGTACATACCGAGCCAAGCAGGATGGCAGGAGTCTGTAGTCCAAGCTCTACTTGGAAGGCTGAGGAAGAGGATCACTTGAACCCAGAAGTTCAAGGTCTGACTAGGCAACAAAGCAAGACCTCATTTCTTTAAAAAAAAAAAAAAAAAAAAGTACAAACTGAGTTCTTTCTAAAGAACTGACAGTACAGCTTTCTTTCTATACTCCTAACAGAGTACAGCTTTGCTACATGGAGTTTGTGGACTTGTTTATTTTGTATTGTAGCAGGGCACATTCTGGAGCCTTACAATATGCTCTTCTTCTTCTTCTTCTTCTTCTTCTTCTTCTTCTTCTTCTACTTCTTCTTCTTCTTCTTTTTTTTAATGTTAAATACCAGGATTTTAAGGATGAAAAATTCAGTCAACAACTGCCTTGGGATAAGAAAAGTTCTGCCATGATATTAGCAAAGGTAGAGGGAAATTTACACTAAGAGGCACCACTTCCTACAGAACACCTCTTGGCACTTCCTGAATGAGTGGGATTAGCACTCATTCATGTTTCCAGAGGCAACAGCAACAGATAAAATTTAAAAGGATTGTTAAAATAATATTTATAAGACTCGTAACAATTCTTAAACTCTTATTAAAACCACAAAGGAAAAACAACTCTTTGTTTATGAATTTCATAAAGGACTGAATATGCAACTCACATCTGCTAGTGATGATCTGGTAATCTGGTATGTGCAATTTGTCTAGTAGCCGAGCAGTTTGTTTTTATTATGTTTTCTAACTGTAAGAGATCATTAAAGGCAAAGCCTATATGATGTTGTACACAGAAAAAAAGTGGTCATCGAGGGCCATACTACTACAACATGCTCTTAGTAGGTAATTGAAAAATATTTGAGGACTGGGGATGTGGCTCAAGCGGTAGCGCACTTGCCTAGCGTGTGTGTGGCCCGGGTTCGATCCTCAGCACCACATACAAACAGAGATGTTGTGTCTGCCGAAAACTAAAAAATAAATATTAAAAAAGAAAAAAAGAAAAATATTTGAGTGCTCGCTTTGGCAGCACATATACTAAAATTGGAACGATACAGAGAAGATTAGCATGGCCCCTGTGCAAGGATGACATGCAAATTCTTGAAGTGTTCCATATGAAAAGAAAAGAAAAATATTTGAAACAGTGAACTTTATGTGTATCTGTATTCTGCTTCTTTTTTCTACAAAAGGGAATAATAAGAGGTTTTTTTTTATCTCTAGGTGGACGGTCATTCAGGAGGACAAAAAAGGCCTGCTGCAAAACAGCTAACTAAAGGAGCTTTGTGAGTCACCTTTGGAAATGACAAATTAAATTTTAACATTTCTTCAGGTTCCTAACCTTCAATATATATACCACAGAAGTCAGGTTATTATGATTAGTTTCTTAGCCTTTTGAAAAAGTACTTTGAAAATCTTTTTCTGCACTTTGATTTGTAGCTTGAGCATACTTACTGTTTGCTCTCTGTTCTTAAGGAGAAAAGTACTTTGTCTCTTTAGAGACAGGAAGTCTCTGAGGAGAAGCATAATTTGATAAGTTTCTGCATTTAAAAGCATGAGTTTATTTGGTCAGTAGTCAATGTGGCCAAAATCTCTGTGAGTGCCCACATGCAAATGGATGGTGGAGACACTGCTTCTGAGGTCAGGGTCATAGCAGTGATACACAAAGTATAAAACTGAAGAAAAAACCTGCTGAGCTATGAAAATAGTATTCCTGTGTATCTTATTTTCTTTGCATGCAAATAAGCACCATGATTAGATTTGATATTCAGACATGTCTGACATGATATCAACACTGGCATTTCTCTCTTAAAGCATTCTCCAGCAGTTACAGAGGGACCAAGCCCATGCTGTGACACCTGACAAAAGCCAGTTCCGATCACTGAGTGATGCGGTGCAGAGACTGCTCTCCTACCATGTGTGCCAGGGCTCCATGCCCACTGAGGAAGACCTGAGGAAAGGTAAACAGGCTGCAGCCCTTAGAGGGCCACCCTGACACCAGGTGCCCTCCCATGCTACCCACAGAAGAGCAAGAGCTACATCACCCCCAGCTGGTAGATAAGTTGTTATTTTTCATCACAGGCCTACCTGTTCCTGTTGTACTCAATTTCTCAGGCCATCTGTAGGGCTGTGACTTATTCTTCCTAATAATCTATGAAGGGGATCCCAAAATACCATGGTATTTTATTGACACACTGGGGGGCAGTGAATTAAAAGCATTGTTTAGGCTGCTGGCTGCACATGGGATGGCCTTGGACTAAATCTCACTTGAGCTTAGTCCTTGCCCTTAGTTGTGTTACCAGTTCTATTAACTAAATAGCAACTTTAACCCCTACCTGAAGCATTCCCTAAGGTCCCACAGTGACTCTAGAGCATTGGCCAAACTTCAGGAAACTTGACAAAAATGTTAAGGATCAGGGCCCATTCTCCCACCCTAGAACTCAGCCCATTTTGTTGCCTGGCCTCCTTCCCATCCCTACTGCCAAGCCCTGACTTGTCCTCTACCACTCTAGTTCCTTCCTGAACTGCCACAAGTTTTGCTCTTCCTGGTGGGATCTCTGATAGCAGAGTACAATGACCTCTGTCAGTCCACTGAGTGCTTCCCTGGGAGATCTAGGGAATAGGATGAAGATCCAGCATTAAACAGAGATGACTCTGAGAAGAAGGGTAAATTAGGAAATGTAAAGCCTTTGGAGACCGAAAGATAAAAGAACAGACCTACAGAGACCATACCTGCAAGGTGTCATGGACTAGATTGTATCTTTGTATTAACCTGGTCTGCCCAGCACAGACAGCTGGATTTCATCATTCCTACTTTTTTAGTTTTACCCACTGTTGGAAAGGAGTGCAGGTTTAGGTCATCTAAACTAGCAGATCATTGTCTGTTCGCTGCTATTTGTTCCTGGTCTCTTATGTGGTTTTATTTGTAGGTGATATTTAAAGGTATTTTGTTTTGGTTTCATAATTAAAGTTGAAATAAGCTATATTAACATGAATTTCCATGACCACATGGACAGTGAGGGAAAACAGTACAGAAGCATGATGCTTATCAAGGAAAAGTTAATCTAAGGAAAGACTGCCACAGACATGCACTGTTTGAATAATGGAAGAGCAGTGTATTTCGGTCTTAAGAAATAAAAGTCTTAGGGCCTGGGATGTAGTTCAGTGGTAGAGCATTTACCTAGTATGTGTGAGGCCCTAGGTTCTATCTTTAGCACTGCCCAAAAAATAAGTGAAACAAAGACTGAGTGGTGGCAGGTGCAGTGGTACATGCCTATAATCCTATTTGGGTGGCTGAGGCAGGAGGATCACAAGTTTAAGGCCAGCTGGGGCAACTTGCAAGACCCTGTCTCAAAATTTAAAAATAAAACAAAAAATTAAAAATAAATAAAAAGTTCTGGGTGTACAGCTCAGTGGTAGAGTGCCCCTGAATTCAATCCCCAGTACCATTAAAAAAAAAAAAAAAAAAAAGACCTAGTGGTTGAATTACACTCTCTTACTATTTCCTTTCTCTCTCTCTCTCTCTCTCATTTTCTCTCTCTCTCTCTCTCTCTCTCTCTCTTTTTCTCTCTTTTTAAAGTGGACAATGAATTTGAAACAGTTGCCACTCAGCTCCTAAAGAGGACCCAAGCTATGCTTAACAAATACAGATGCCTGCTCCTAGAAGACGCCATGGTAAAAGTTGTGCTACCAAGCACATTTGTTTTTACAGCTCCACAGGTCACAGTTACTAAATCAGAGAGAAAATGTTCAAGGAATTACATTTTCAAAACATAGTTTAAAAAACACGGGTATTTAAGATTGTAGAAAAATTCACACTTACCCATTGATACAAATGATAACATCCAATATTTGCTGAACTATACATGGTGGATCAGTACCATTTTCTTGTTCAACAAATAAGGAGTCATTATGTTAAGTGAAATAAGTCATGCACAGAAAAACAAGTACTGTGTGGTCCCATTCATATGTGGAATCTAAAAAAGTTGATCTCAGAGCTAAGTTGAGAGTAGAATGGTAGATACGAGAGGCTAGTGAGAATAGTGGGGAAGAAGACAGGGGAGAGGTTGATAGATGGGTTCTAAGTTGCAATTAAGAGTATGAAATTCTAGTGTGCTGTTGTACAGTAGGGTGACTAAGAGTGATTACATGCTATATATCTCACAAAGCTAAAAGAGCAGTGTGCAGTGACACACACCTATGATCCCAGCTACCTTGGAGACTGAGGCATTTTAGCAAGACCTGTCTCTAAATAATAAATAATTAGGGTTTGGATGTGAAGTTTAGTGCCCCTGTTCAGTCTCCAGTGCCACAAAAAGAGGGAAGAAAATCGAGAATAAAGGATTTTTTAGTATTTTCACCATAAAGAAGAGATAAATGTTTAAAGAGATAATATTTAATGTGATCACACAATGTATGTATATATTAAGACATCACATAGATTTCAATTAACATATGATTTTTATTTATGTATCAGTTAAAAATTAATTTGTTTAATTACCAGAAATACAGCTTTGGTAAAGTAACTCCCCCAAGATCACATAGATAGTAAGTTTGCAGAATCATGAACAGAAGCTGGGTGCAGTGGCATATGCCTGTAATCCCAGCAACTCTGGGGGCTGAGGCAGGAGAATCATGAGTTCAAAGCCAGCCTCAGCAACTTAGCAAGGCCCTAAGCAGCTTAGCAAGACCTTGTCTCAAATTAAAATATTTTTTAAAAAGCGGGGCTTGGGGATGTGGCTTAGAGGTTAAGCATCCTGGGTTCAATTCCTGGTACAAAAAAAAAAAACAGTCATAGCAGAGCTCAGGCACAGACCAGGACTGTTTCAGAGCAGTCCCTACTCTGCTGCTGTCCACACTCTGCTGCTGTCCACTGCCTTTCACCAATCCAGAGATGTAGGAGGAGGACTAGAGGCACCTGTAGTAACAATTGTTCAGAATAACATTTGGAAAGATTAGCTGATGACAAGATGTTAAAATTAGTTTTGTTTTAATTTTTTGTACTACCTTTATTTTGTTTATTTTTATGTGGTGCAGGGATCAAACCCAATGCCTCATGCATGCTAGGCAAGCGCTCTACCACTGAGACACAGTCCCGTCCCTGGTTTTGTTTTTAAGAGATCAGTAACATGCCACAAAGTTCATATTTTAATTTAAAGTGTACACTTGATAGGTTTCAGTATATTCACAAAGTTGTGTAACCTTCACCACTATCTAATTCCAGAATATTTTCATACCCCAAATGGAAACTTTTAAATTTAGTTATGAAGCACCAGTTAATTGGAGAAAGGAATAAGACATTTAGGAGCCCAGGGTCAAATGGGACAAATGTCTGGCACTTGTAGACCTTGGTAAGAAATTTTGGTGTACGGGCTGGGGATGTGGCTCAAGCAGTAGCACGCTCCCCTGGCATGCATGCGGCCCGGGTTCAATCCTCAGCACCACATACAGACAAAGATGTTGTGCCTGCAAATAACTAAAAAATAAATATTAAAAAAAAAAAGAAAGAAATACTGGTCTACAAGGAAGGGAGGGTTACTGCCATGGTAACCTATATCCCACTACTGGGGAGGCTGAGGTAGGAGTATCCCAAGTTCAAGGCCAGCCTGGGCAACCTAGCCAGACCTGCCAAAAAAAATTGTACTACCAATGTCTGAAATAGTTGTTCTCATTGACAACCATTTCTGAAATAAAACTCTTTGACACATCAAAAAGAGTAGCTCTAGGGCTGGAGTTGTAGCTCAGTGGTAGAATGTGAGGTAACGTGTGAAGCACTAGGTTCGATCTTCAGTGCCACATATAAATAAATAAAAGTCCATTGACAACTAAAAAAAAAATATGTGTGTGTGTGTGTGTGTGTGTATGCCACCAGCTCTATAATTTGTGAGAAAGGGAATACTTATTTGGTTTAATTATCTTATTTATGCCAAAATATGTTAAGATTTGATTTTGAATATCCAAAGCCTTAATAAAAAGGAAAGCCTTCATAAAAACACAAAGCATAACAATATAAAGTAAAAGGTCATTCTAATGAGAAGATTTCTAAGACACATTATTAAGTTAGAGTAAGAAAAGAAAGGTACAGAACAGCATTGCTATCATTTGGTGCAAAAATAAATATATGCTGTGTGTGCCTGAACTATATCTGGAAGAATATTTTTATTTTTAAATGTGTTCTATGGAATTTGGGGTTTTTTTTTGTTGTTGTTGTTTTGTTTTTTGGTACTGGGGATTGAACTTAGGGGCACTCAACCACTGAGCCACATCCCCAGCTCTGTTTTGTATTTATTTAGAGAGAGGGCCTCACTGAGTTGCTTAGCACCTTACCATTGCTAAGGCTGGCTTTGAACTTGTGATTCTCCTGTCTCAGCCTCCCAAACTGCTGAGATTACAGGCATGCACCACCATGTCCAGCCTAGAATAATATTTTAAACTGCTGGGCAGTTGATATTTCCAGGAAGAGGTACTTGGTTGTGGTGGGTATGCAGGGGAAACAAAGAAGGAAGGATTATTTTTTATATGCCCTGTAGCATCTTTTGAATTTTGTACCAGTGTGTCAATTACCTTTCCTTAAAAAAAAAAAAAAAAAATCAGTTCTAGCTGGGCACAGTGGCACATGCCTGTAATCCCAGTGGCTCGGGTGGCTGAGGCAGGAGGATCGAAAGTTCAAAACCAGCCTCAGCAACTTAGTGAGGCTCTAAACAATTTAGAGAGGCTCTCTCTAGTGAGACCCTGACTCAAAATTTAAAAATTAAGAAAAGGGCTGGAGATGTGGCTCAGTGGTTAAGTGCCCCTAGGTTCAATCGCTGGTAACAAAAAAATTCAGTGTTAAAAAAAATTCATCCTATGTGACCAGGGCATGATCAGAACCTAAACACAAAATTCTCATTTCTGATTGTTTCATTTGTTCCAAAGATGAAGTGAGTTGTTTGCACTTCATAAAAGGCCTCTAATATGACTGACTTATCTCATTTTCAGCGGATCAATCCCTCTGCTGAAATGGTGATGATTGATAGAATGTTCAACCAGGAGGAAAGAGCTTCCCTATCCCGGGACAAACGTCTGGCACTTGTAGACCCTGGTAAGAAACGTTGGTGTACAAGTAGGGGAGGGTTACTGCCATGGTCCAGGGACCTAAGAGTCTGGGGAATCTGTGTGGATGACCTCTGGGTAAGTCCAGAAGTATGAATTCTGGGGAGGAAAAAAAAAAAAAAACAGAACTGAGAGACATATGAATCCTCTTTTTTTTTTAATACCTGTATTTTTTTATTATTTATTTTTATGTGGTGCTGAGGATTGAACCTAGTGCCTCACACGTGCTAGGCAAGTGCTCTACCACTGAGTCACAACCTCAGCCCCATATATGAATATTCTTAGAAGTCTCTATTCTACAGAATTCAGATTGGAATTCTACATTTAGTTAAATGAGTCTCTTTTTTGGATACTGGTGATTGAACCCAGGGGTACTTAACCACTGAATTATATCCCTTTTTTGTTTTATTTTTGAGACAGTATCCTTTTTATTTTAAGACAGAGTCTCCCTAAGGTGACAAAGCTGGACTGGTACTTGCAATCATCTTGCCTCAGCCTCCTGAGCCACTGGGATTACAGGCTGCATTACTGCACCCTGCTAATTGAATGCATATTAGATTTGTTCCATATTCTGCCTTTTGAAAATGAGTCTGGAGCCAGGCATAGTAGCACAAACCTCTAGTCCCAGATACTTAGGCAGTTGAGGCAAGAGGATCCCAAGTTCAAGGCCAGCCTTAGCAAGTTAGCCAGACTCTGTCTCAAAATAAATGAAAAACTATCCCAGTGACTCAGGAGGTTGAAACAGGAGGACCACGATTTCAAGGTCAGCCTTAGCCATTTAGTGAGGTCCTAAGCATCTTAGTGAGACCATGTCTCAAAATATAAAACCAAAAGGATGTAGTTCAGCAGCAAAACGCCCCTGGGTTAATCCCTAGTACCAAAAAAGAAAAAGAAATAAAGAAAAGAAACTAAAAACAAAGATGTTGACGATGTAGCTCAGTGGTAGATTCCTTGTCTAGCATATGCAAGGTCTTGGGTTCAATTCCCAATACCACTAAAAATAATTTTTAAAAGAATAGTAATGAGTTCTGGGCTGGGAGTGTAACTCTGTGGTAAAATGCAGGCTTGGTATGCAGGAGGCCAGCACCAAAAAAGAAAGAGTTCTCTTTATTTTTTTCTAACTTCTAAAATTTTGTTTTGTTTTTTGTTTGTTTGGTTTTTTGAGACAGGCTCTCATTATGTTACCTAGGCTAGTCTTGAACGTCTATGCTGAAGGAATCCTCCCATATCTGCCTCCCAAGAACTAGTACCTACAGGCTAAATATTTTTAAATCAAATAACACTGTGATAATACACAGAATGTAAATTTTACCTTTATAATACCACCTATAAAAGAGATGTTTTAGTTCTTTGCTGTTCTTCCAGTTCTGGTTCCCATTTGCATACTTTATATATAGTTATAACCATTTGTCTTATACTAGATATTATTTTGTATTCTATATTTTTTCATTTAACATATCTGAAGTTTTATCATGTTATCATTTCAAAAATAATTTTTAATACATTTGAAGACATTAGCATAATGCATTTCCCCTGCTGTTAGACTGTTATCTTCCTATGGCTTTCATTCCACTGATGTCTTTCTGATACTTACATATTAAGGTTCTTTGGTTTGATGTGACTCAAGAATATTTTACAAATAGAATATATGATCCTCACACTCACACTAATGGGAAAGTCTGAAAGAAAAATTATGAACCTAGCAAGAGCCAAAAAGGAAAAGAATAATATAGTATATATTTCTGTCCCTTTTTCTTAGAACCTAATGTCTCCTATTGCCTTTTGGTGAATTTGGCTTGTTCATAAACCCTCATACTTTGTCATAGGACCCTGTCATGAGCACCACTGTGCTGGACCGTGCTTCCTTGTCCCCAGTGTGGTGTCTGCACAGCCAGTCTTTGTTGGTAGAATCAACTTTTTAGATTTCAAACTACATTCCCTGGATCTCATATTTTGGGCTTCAGTGAATAATTCATGTTCATCGTATACATACTCTTTGTGGTTTTGTAGATGTCATCAAAGCCCTACTTCACTTTTGTTACTTCCAGAGTTAACACTTTTTGTTTCCTTCCCACCACCAGCTGTACTGTTGACACACCAAGTCCTCATTTGTCTTGCCACCCACTGGCTCCTCCAGCCTTGCACAGTTCCGTGCTCACCCACAGACACAGTTCCTCCCCATCCCACTGTTCTTCTAAGCAGATACCATTTTGGATGTGTGTTGGCTATTCATTTGTGATCTTCAAAGTAATTGGTCCCTCACATGTGATCAGAGGGACTGAAGTCCATCCCCTTCCTCACAAAGCCCCATCAGGAAGAAACCAAGTTGATACCAACAACAAATTTCTGATTTCAGACTATTTCAAAGCATTCATTAGCAGAAAGCTAATTTAAAACATTAAGAGAGGTGCTGGTTCAGGGGGACAATGCATGCTTAGCGTACACCAGGCTTGGGTCTCCATACCCGAGTATGGTAAAAAGATGATAACAACAGGGCTGGGGAACATAACTCAGTTTAAAGCACTAGCCTGGCATGTGTGAGGCCCTGAGTTCAATCCCCAGCACCACAAAAACAAACAAACAAATCCTATTAAATTATGCGTATATCTTTGAAATAATAATAATAATGCCACCAAGAAATCTGGATCTAATGGAGCTTTCTGCCCATCAGATTTTCCCGTTGGTCTCAAGCAGCTGCCTTTTCAAAGAGGCTAGGCTTCCTTCGTGGAATCTGTGACTTCAGAGCCTTGTTACCTTTTTAGGATGCCCTGTCAGTACCACATTGTGCTGAAACACTGACTCAGGGTGGGGCGGGGCTGAGTGGTACAGTCGGGGTCACCCTCAGCACCTGACCACTGGAGTTGGCTACCTAGTCCTTGATCTTCCACTCACTCATTAATGTTCTTTCCATCCCCATTTCCAGAGGGGTTTCAGGCCGATTTCTGTTGTTCCTTCAAACTTGATAAAGCTGCTTATGAGACACAGTTTGGCAGGAATGACCAGCATGGCAGTAAAACAACCAGTTCTCTACATCTGGCAGCCAAGGCCCAAAGCAGAGACCGAGCCAAACCAGGCGTGACCGAACCAACGAATCATGACCAATTTCATCTAGTGCCTAATCACATCGTGGTCTCTGCAGAGGGAAACATTTCTAAAAAAACGGAATGCCTCAGCAGAGCCCTGAAATTTGACAAAGTGGGCTTAGCTCAATACCGGAGCTCGTCTGAAGAGAAAGGCAACCGGAGAGACCCCATGAAGACCAGTGAGTGCTCTCCTGGCCCTGAAGGCCACCGCAAAACCTTGTCCAGACCAGATCATGGTACTGAGAACAAACTGTCTGGTATACTAGTAGACTCCCACTTGGAGATGTCATGTAACGATTCCTTCCAGGACAAAACTCGGAGGAATTCTCCAAAGAATGAAGTTTTACACACAGACATCATGAAAGGGTCAGGTGAACCCCAGCAAGATCTCCAGCTCACCAAGAGTTTAGAAACAACATTTAAGAACATATTGGAACTCAAGAAGGCTGGGCGGCAACCACAGAGTGACCCCACGGTTAGCGGCTCTGTTGAATTAGATTTCCCCAACTTTTCTCCAATGGCTTCGCAGGAAAACTGCCTAGAAAAGTTTATCCCGGACCACAGTGAAGGCGTTGTAGAAACGGACTCCATTTTAGAAGCAGCTGTAAATAGTATCCTAGAGTGTTAATAGCAGCAGTCCCTCCCCAGCCCCCAGCCCTTGCCCCGGACAAGTTACATTCTCTCCTGGCAAAAGCAAATGGAAACGGTCTCCTGTCTCCAGCCTGCTTGGTCTTTCATCACAGGTTATTCTTTTTAATCTCAGTCCTGTTCTTTGTTTAAGAGCAATACTTGTCGTGGTTACAGGGAGATCCTTTAGTAAAATTCATCCTTGTTAGAGAGCAGTCTGGTAGGCCCTACACATTTCAAGTGTTATGAAAGTGCTGATGATCATTTTTTGTTTGTTTTATTTTTTTTTAACACTGTCTCTCCATGAGCCCACAGTACACTTGACTCTGAGTAAAGTTTTGACAATCATAAGTCATTTGAAAAGAACAGACTTATTAAAGAAAATCAAACAGGACTGATAGAAGCTACTTTTTAAAGAATATCTCACTGCAGCTCCAAATTAGTGTTCATTCTGTTTTGTTTTTGTTTTGCGGGGGTATTGTTCGGGGAAGACCACCTCGTTCCTCCCCATTCAGCCCTCTCTGAGCAGTAAGTTGCTGACTGCTCTGCCAAGGACTCTACAGCCCTGGTGTCAGAAGTCAGTAGCACATAAGCAGGGCATTTGCAGGGCTTCCCTGTTGATCATTCAAGTGCTTTTCCAATGCTCCTGGAGCAAAACCTCATGCTTTTCAGCATATCCATGTCAAATTTCATCTAGGGAATGCTCTGTTCTTAGTTGTAATAGCATGACTTGAAATAATTTCACCAGGCTGAATAAAGGAAAATGGAAAACAGTTAAGTGGCACAGTGTACAGGGGAGGCCGGGATAGAGCCATGAGGATTATAATATGTATATATGTAAAAGCATATATATGTTAACTATGAAAAAAACAAAGAGTTTTGCATTTTATAATTGGGTATAGTCAACATACAATGTATGTTTTGTTTGTTGCTGGGTTTGGTTTTATTTAACCTCTCTGTGTACCCTCTCCCACAACAAATAGCCAAGCATCAAAAGCACTTTCATTTGAAAACTAAGTTGCAATTTTTCAGTTCATACTTTAAGGGGACTTTGGCCTTGTTTCTGCTTCTTGTTGTCTGAGAACAGTAGTCACTCCTGTCAGCAATCATTACCAAAACACAGACAAACCAAAGGTAACCAGCCAGCCCATCACTGAAAGGAAAGAGCTGAGATACAGAATTTCCACTTGAGAGCCAAAGGATATGCCCTGTCATAGTTTGTGTTTGGCCTGTGTTCATATCAGTGAACACGACTTATTGCTTTATTTATTTATATTTCTTTTCAGGGAGCATTCCCCATTTTCCTTTCTTGTATAGCTGTCCCAGATCATCCCATTTCTGTTGTTTCTTTCATTTTCCATGTCATTGTAACCACCAATGGGAAGGCTACACACTGGTAGGTTATATGCATTCTTCTCTCACAGGGCATGCACATGTGTCTGAGCTGTTGGGATCCAAGGTCATTTTGGTTTCAGTGTGTGCACACTTGCTTTCTTACTCTGCTCATCTCCTTGTCCATAGAGATGTACCCATTAGTCTCCACTCTAACATATTCCCAGAGTGGGGATGATCCCCATTGTCATCATGTTGGGCATTTCTTTTCCAGATTGGCCTGCAATGGAAAAGAAGGCTTCTGATCATTCAGTACACAGCAACAGAAGACCTGTATCTTCCCTGCCCCTCTGTCCCTCCTTACAAAGAAATCCCATGAGATACCCAGTCTGCATAAGAGCAAAGTACCTTCTCCCTACCCCCAAGCCCTGGCCAATTGAAATAGGAAAATGTGGGCCATCTAGGGTTTCCATTTTTTCCTTATTTGTGCCAATGTCCAAGTTGCAGATTTCCCCTTCTTACTGTATTGTAATATGTTAGAAAGATAAGTTGGTATTGCCAGTTGGACCTTTCTGTTTGGGCAGCCCTGGGTTAACAGCCCACCCTGAACCCATGATTTCACAGGCTCTTCTTCTGTTAGGGCTCACACTCCCCTAATTCAAGATGGTCCCTCCTGATCAAATTCTTCTCATTGTGGAACTTTATACCTGGAAGCCTTCATGTGGGCTGTTAATGAATTACATTAATTACTGCGAATCAGTGGAATTCTTAAGAGATAAGCTTCATGTACATTCGTCACCTCTCTTTCTGCCCTCTCCTGCCCTCCTACCCCACTTTAAGCTTTTCTATATGCCATCTTCAAGGGTTTTTAAGCCCTAACACTTGTCAGCAAATGGAGAGCCTAACTTACCAAAATGAAACTTGTAAATTTTTGTGTCCTTGTATGTAAGTTTACTTTTTATGGAGGAAAGATTTTAGATAATGACAAATGAAGATTACAAAATGTATTTTACTCCTGTGATTAGGTTACGTGCACATGGGTCATGACTCGCATGTCGAGCCCCTCTGGCGAAGGATAAGAGAGCTCAGCCTTGGACGCCAACATTCAGTTGTTCAGGTTCATTAGTCAAAGTTAAGTTTTAGAACTACTTGTACTCAGTAACAAAAATCATTTTCTTTTCTTTTCTTTTTTTTCTGTTTGTTGTTGTGAAAAAAAAAGTGTGAATTTGTTATTACGCATTTGATTTTCTGTGTCCTTAAGTACTGCCTAAAGATAAAGCAAATTTTAAACTGGCAATTACGAAAAAGAACTATTTTAGCTCTGAAGAATTTAGTAGACTCTGTTAGATTAGGGAGGCCTTACAGACTGACTTGACCTAAAGAGGACGCGTCACTCGCTGTCAGTGTGGTGTGGCTTTATTTGCTTAAATACCTTCATTTGTATAGTATGTCTCACTTGAAATTGCTTTGTATACATTTTGTAAAAATATTTATAAAATGTTTTGTAAAAAAAAGTATAACAAATTGCAGTTTATTTTGTTATGTTGGATAAATACTGTTAAAAGAAACCAGTCAGTAACTATATTGTTAATCCATGGTTAGGAAATGTTTAGTTGGAGATTACAAAATGAAACAACCATTGCAATACAGCCAAAGATTTGGGAAAATGTGCAACTGTGATTGTCTTGATTTTGCAAAGAGGAAAGGCTGCTTTCCACCCAAAAAAGGGTAAGTATTCAGTGGGAGTTCTATTTCAATATTACCATTCCCAAAAAAGTTATCTAACCAGCTGAGGAGACAGGATTTGACTTGATTGGCCTTTCCAAACAGTGACAAATGAAAGAAACAAAGTTGGTCAGTGAGGAATTTTAGTCACAAATGTATGAGGCCTCCATCCCTAGTCCCGTCACTTGGGTCCTTAGTAAGAAAGGGAAAATGGGGGTCATTTGAAAAGTTACATAAGTGAATCATATTCTGCAGGAAGTTTTCTTCAATCTTTGTTTGTTCCTACAAAGACAACAAGAAAGCTAAAGGATAAAGAAAAATATTTTACGTAGACTTATTCCAGAATTAATGTTTCTCTTTGGATTCCCATATTTGACCAGGATGTATAGAGAAATACCTCTGTAACCACATCTGTAAAATCAGCCCCAAGAGATCCATTTGTGACTTCCTACCTTCACAAGTGTGACTCAATACAAAGTGTTTATTGGGGAAACTTCCAGAGGGTAAAATGTGTTTCAGGAAGGAAATTTTTTGAGATCCAGAATTTATACTTGCACTCCTTTATGGTCTAACTGCTTCCCCTTACCCTAATAGTTGTTGAAAACTCAAGATTCTGTAGTAATTAATATAAACTAGATGTCATTCTCATAACACTGATAGAAGTTAAAATAATTATATAAGTGGATGAATGGATCCTTTGATGTCATTTGCAGTGTTGCCCTGAGATCACACTTTTCTTCTTGCAAAGGATAAATGTCTGTCCAGCAGGACTTCTTGCCCTGTTCAGGCCACTTGCAATGGAAATGCCCAAGAAATGGAGTTAGAAGGAAGGACTACCTGGCTGCCGGGTTAGAATCAGCCCTGTGTATAGGAGGTCATGTTCCAGGAAAGGGGGTCTAGCTGACACAGAAAAAGCAGTCTGTGGGTTATTGGGGGAAATGTAAGGGAAAAGAAAGAAACCCCCATAGCTGGGGGCACTGAAACAGCATTGCTCAGACTAAGTTCTAGCTGTGCTATCTTCAAGAGGCTAGGACCTGGACTGTATGGTCTGGCTTGACTCAGCCTCATGTGTCCTCTTCAGCATAGAGAAGACCTCTTGGAATCCAGCATTGACTAGACTACCAAACCGTTCCTGAGGAGTTGACTCTGTGACAAGCACTGTGCTAGACTTTTTGATAGATGGACAATACAGGAGTGATTTCTTCTCTCAAGAAGCCCACAGTCTTGCCAGGCATGGTGGTATACACATGTAATCCCAGACAGAGGCCCTGGAAGCTGAGGCAGGAGGACCACAAGCTCAAAGCCAGCCTCAGCAACTTAGTAAGGTCCTAAACAACTTTGCAAGACCCTGTCTCAAAAAATAAAAAGGGCTGAGGATATGGTTCAGTGGATAAGAACCCATAGTCTAGGGTCTGGGATTGTGGCTCAGTGGTAGAGCGCTCGCCTAGCACATTCGAGGTCCTGGGTTTGATCCTCAGAACCACATAAAAATAAGTGAAATAAAGATAGTGTGACCAACTACAACCAAAAAATAAATAAATAAATATTTAAAAAAGAAGAAGAAGAAACCCTAGTCTTGATAGGGAAGAACAAATACACAAGTTACTTTTGAGAACTGCCTAGAGTCCATGAGAGAGGAAAATGGGATGTTGAAACTCCTTCTGAACTTGGTAGAGAGCTGCCATCTATTTCCATGCCCAGGCTCTTCAGAGTTATGTCTGAGAAAAAAGTATGATACTTTTTACAGGAATGAAAAGAATGGATTTTTGTTATTATAATGTTAAATATGCAGAGATCTGATTCAGCATACATACAATTAGTAGGAGCACATTCAGATTATGAAATGGATTCTTACTTGCCTAGCATGCAGGAGGCCCTGGGTTCCATTTCTAGCATGGTGCTCACCTGCGTGTGCATACTCACACTCACACACACACACTGAATTGTGTAAATATAAATAGCCTGTCCATTGCTGCAGGTGAAAGACCTTTATGAGAAACCCTGATCTGCATTCCTCTGGAGCATGTGCTGGTGTGGCGTGGCCTTTGAAAACACTTGTGAAGGTTCAAGATCCTTGGGGGAAAAATCACTTCTTTTCAAGGTCAGAGAAAAGCAGTGCAACTCAAGGGACAGGAAGTGCAGCAGGAATGGGTTCCAGTACATCATCTAACACATAATCAAATACACCTTTCTATAAGTTACTCTTAATCTAAGTTTCTTTGCTCGTAAAGTAAGAAGACTCATCCTGGCCCTGTACTTATGGGTAAGAAATAACGTTCCATTGTCCCTGAAATAATTCAGAAAAGGTTTGGTGTTTTCTGTATGGCTTTTGGTCCTTCCTGATATGGACTATTTCTTAAGCTCATTTTCTTTATCTATCTTCAACCCTCAAAAGACTGTTGCCCTCACCTCTTATCTCCCTTTTCTTTCCACTTAAGCATGTTTTTCATCAGGATCAAAAGCTGTTGTTCACATTGTCTTCTCCAACTCCAGGTTTATCTGTTCATCTCTCCTTCCTTCTGTCTAATAACCCTTTGCCACTCTCTGCAGATGCCCCGAGCTGCTCCCTGAGGCAGGAAGACTGCACTTTGAAGGCCACCCTCAACAACTTGGGGAGGCCCTATTCAACTTAGCAAAAAACCTGTCTCAAAGTAAAAAAATAAAAAGGACTGGGGATGAGTCTCAGTGGTTAAGTGCCTCTGGGTTGAATTCCCAGTATCAAAAACAAAAAGACCACAAGGAGAGTTATAATCCAAGAAAGAAAATTGGGGCAGAAAAGAATCTGCAGATGGCTCCCCATTTAGGGTATGTCAGGGGTGGCAGTTTTGCCTGCTTGAGAAGGCATTGCTTAACTATCTCAATTTAAAAAAAAAAAAAAAGGATTCCAAATAATCCAGAAATGCAGCAATACTGAAATAATTTACTCAGAGATATTAGGAAACGAATCCCTGGAGTTAAATAACCACAAAATACTGGTCCTAAAGAGTAAAAACGCTGGGTGTGGTGGTACATGCCTATAATTCCAGCAACTGGGGAGGCTAAGGCAGAAGGATTGCGAGTTTTGAGGCCAGTCTCAGCAAGTTAATGAGACCCTGTCTCAAAATAAAAATAAAAAAGACTGGGGATGTAGCTCAGTAAAGCACCTCTGGGTTCAATTCCCAGTACAAGGGGGGAAAAAGTCTAAAAACATTGTCACTGGGTATGGTAGGTGCAACTGTAATCCCAGCTATTCTGGAGGCTAAAGCAGGAGAATCCCAAGTCAAGGTCAGCCTGGGCAATTTAGCAATTTCTCAAAAAAAATATTTTTTTTTTCAAAAAGGGCTGGGGATGGGGGCTGGGGCTCTAGCTCAGTGGCAGAGTGCTTGCCTAACGTGTGTGAGGCACTGGGTTCAATCTTTAGCAGTACCACATTAAAAAATAAAAAGTTTTTCATCCATCTACAACAACAACAAATGTTTTTTAAAAAGGACTGGGAGTGAGGCTTAGTGGTAGAAGGCTTGTCTAACATACATGAAGCCCTGAGTTCCACCCAAGTACTGCAGAAAATAAACAAAAACATAGCCAAATGATTTCTAAATCTGAAGAATATAATTACTCAACAAGCTTTGTCATTCATATGTGATAAACAAAAAGCATACAACAAAAACATGGCTTCCCCTCCACTTTAGATTCAATTCCCACTTCCCCAAATAACAAGTAACTTCTATTGGCACCAGTGTATATTGTTCTAAAAGTGTTACATACAAATATAAACAAACAAACAAACAAAAAACCTGGAAAGATTCTCTTCTACCCTATTCTGTATCTCAATTTTTAAAACCAATTATCTGGGACTATTATAGTCAGGTTTCTTTGGCTGTAAGCAACAGAAACCAATTTTGGTGACTAGCATAAGGGATTTTATAGGGAGGATAAGGATTGAAAAGAAGATGGAAGAAACACCAAAAGGTTCTGGTAGGTGGAAATCCTTAAAAAGTCTTTCCCAGAACCTCCTACTTTGTTCTATAATCACTTTGCTCAAGATTCAAAATCTGAGGCTGGGATTTGTGGCTCAGTGGTAGAGCACTCGTCCAGCACATGTGAGGCCTTGGGTTTGAATCCACAGCACCACATAAAAATAAATAAAGGTATTGTTTCCAACTACTTCCAAAAAATAAAAAATGTTTAAAAAAAGATTCAAAATCCCAGAGAAGTCTCATACCCCATTCCTCTGGGAAAGTGAAAAAGTTTTAAAAATCTTGCACTGACCCTCTAAAACTTAAGTATTGGGAAGACAAACATTTGGATTTGATATCCCCCACCACTGCCAAGATTGTACGCAATAAGAGAGAGACCATTTCACAAAAGGAATGGGATACTGTTGGAAATGAGAATGGATGTTGGCAAGCCAAAAGGGTAAAAAACAACTACCTCACTGCATTAAACTACATCATCTGCCACAATTTATTTAGCCATTCTCTAACAATGAACAACTGAAGTAGCTAGAAGAGAACAAAGCCTATGAGGATAGGCTAAAAAGAGTTTTTAAGACTTTATTTTATTTTTTCTTTTGTGGTGCTGGGGATCTAACTCAGGGCCTTGCACACATTACAGGAGTGCTGTCCCACGGAGCTAATCCCAGCCCCAAGAGTAAGGTGCTTAAGGCTGTGGGAATCCATGCTACATTCATTCATTAACTTCTTGAGGGAAAAAACTTTCTATCTCCCCAGTGCTAAGACACACAGTCAATGCTCAATAAACCCAAATGCAGTTAGTGAATGACTTTTCCTCTGGGTCAGTCCGGTACAATGATGGCTTTGCACTTTCTCCTAGCACCATCTACTGGCAGGGGTAAGCTACTTCCTGAATCCTGACTCAATTCCATTCATAACACTCCTTCCCTTCATATTGTCAGTTATCACAGAGTCTACCATTTATCCATACACAAGGGAAGTTACAAAATATTGATTTATCTTTGTCACTTATTTACTATTTAATGGATGTCTTACACTTTGGTGACCCTTCTGTTTTGCCTCTTTATAAAGTAAGACACATGGCAAAATGCTGAGAATGACCTTCAGGCTAGTGATTCTGAACACTGTGTTGTCCTTTTACATTTATTTATTGGTTAAGTAGTGAGCAGCTCAGTTCATGGCACTGTTCTTTCTGGTGGACTTACTTAGCACACACTAATATGCCTTGCATTTCTAAATCAACCACTCATTGAACATGTCCCTGCAGAAACTCATTGTAATAGGTGTTGTAGAAAATAAAGTATGATCAAATCCCCAACTCTCAAAGAGTACTCAACCTAGTTAGAGAAATAATAAGCCAAGGTACAGGATAAAGTCAGTGGTGATATCTTTATGTGTGTGGGGCACGATATGAAGACTGAACCCAGATGTGCTCTACCACTGAAATATGTCCCCCTGATTTATTTTTCAGTACTAGAGACTGAACCCGCGGCGCTGAACCACTGAGCCGCCTCTGGTTCAAAATGTTGAAGGTGCCAAGATTGAGAAACTGGGGACTGGGGAATATAGCTCAATTGGCAGAGTGCTTGCCTCTTGTGCACAAGGCCTTGGGTTCAATCCCCAGCACCACAAAAAATAAAGGAAAAAAAAAAAGATTGAGAAAACTGGCTGGACCCTTAGAATCATGTGGTGAGGGAATAAATACACCTACAACCAAAACATATAAAACACAACTTGGGCCACTCTCTGGTTTTTTGCTTGCCTCATTTTTTGAGACAGGGTTTCACTATGTTGCCTAAGTTGGTTTGGAATTTCTGGACGCAAGCGACGTCCCAGCAGCTCAGACTACAGGCGTGAGTCATGGAGCCATGCTGGGACTATCCTTTTACACTCTAAAAAAAAACTTAGAGATAAGAGCCTTGCTAGGTCAAGTGTAGCCCATAGATCAGCAGGACTGATCTGTAGAACTTATTAAAAATGAAAAATATTGATCTACCTCAGCGGCCTCCTGAATAAAAATCGGCATTTTAACAAGATGCTCAAGTGACTCTCACACAAATGAATGTTTGAGAAGGGATTTGATGGTCTCCAGAGATGAATCGACTTGAGTTACTTTTCAGGATTTTATGTAGTCAAGGAAAGATGAGAGCATATTCCAGGCGGTGAGATACACAAGGGAAGGATGAGGTGGCAAGGAGGCATTTCTAGTTCGGGTACTTACAGTAATAATTAACATAATGTTGACTGCTTACTCTTAGGCATTGTGCTATAAACACGTCATCGAATGCCATAACCCTCACAAGCTATCAGTGTTACCACCCTAGCGCATTTTTCCTTTTTCCCTCGTTTGCTTATTTCTTATGCGGGCTGGAGCACGAATCCGACCAGCCCAGGATCCAGGGAAGGTCCTCACCTCATTAATAAGGAAACCGAAGTACAAAGGGGTTAAATAACTGGCTTAGGGAGTCACTGTGGAACCGAGCTGATGGGAGCTACCTTCTTTAACACCCTACGTCGTCCACAAACACCTCCACCCATACGTAAGAGCCAAAGCCAGCCCACCAGCTCTCTGCGGAGGAAAAACACCACCCCAAACTTCCTTCGCAGAGCCACGCAGACGCCGCTGCACGGCGCAAGCCGGAAGGGCGGTGACGGCGCCACAGCGGAAGCCGAGTGCATTGTGGGAAGCGCTTTATAATTCACCGCGAAGTTACCGGGAGCCAGGAGAACGTAGCTTAAAGGAGAATGAGTGGACGTTGGAAATATCATAGACCGTAAAAAGCTTGAGTTCGCACCCAGGCATCACGGGGTTTTTAAGGCTTTGGATACGAGCGAATATTAGGGATACATTTTGAAGACTGGAGTCAAAAACTTAACTCAGAAGTTTGAGGCAGCAGTGTTCCCCGAAGCCCAAGTTTTGAATTAGTTTAGAAATTTGTTGAACATTCGTCTCCTAAATGTTATTCTCGCTGACCTCAATTTTCTGTATCCAGAAGAAAATATATATATATAATTTCCATCCCTTTGGTTCTAGAAAAATTAATTCCTAAAAAAGGAAGTTTATCATACCCTCAAAGCTACCCAGACAAAGCAGGCACTTTGGGGAAAGAAATGGTAAAGCTGGGGAACCAGGAGGCTTTGTGCAGCTTTTGGCAGTAACCAGGATTTGCAAGTCTCCATTCGGGCTGCTAAAGTGGGCTTTGGCTGCCCGAGTCCTCCAGCGTGAGCTAGAAGAGACGTCTCTATGATCAATTAAACATAGAGTGGGTCCTCTCTTCCCCGCCTGGCGGACGTGCACACGAGCTGTAATTGCCGCACTGGAAAGATGGCGGAGGAAGAGTAAGTGTTTGCGTCTTTGAGTTTTTCGAGGGGAGAGGGAACTTGAATATCCGATGCCATCCACAGTGTTTATTCTGTGCTGTTAGGAAGGAAGGCACGTGTGGACTGTAGGAAGAGAAAACAAAAGGCTTCAGATTACAGAGAGTAGGAGTGAGGTCCTGTAGGGCTGGGTCTAGCGGAGGGGGCCGCAGTTAGTTCTGGTTACCTAGAACAGCGAGGATTGACTTTCAGGCAGGCGGTTAGGAAACACAGGTATGGAGGGGACAGCAGCTGAAGAGTGCCAGAATTGAGTTCACCCAGCCTGACTTTCATTATTTGCCCTGTAAGTAGACTCCCACTCGCCCCAACCCCACGGGTTCTTTCTAGGATCTCAACGCTTTGAGTTGACGAAAGCCTATGGTAGTAAAAGTCTGTTGTAATCGAATCAGGAGCCAAGAGGTTCTTGAGATTTTAAGGCTTTGGATACGAGTGAATGTTAGGGCTTCATTTTGAAAATTAGTCAGAAACCATCGGTTTTAGGAGAAACTCGGTGCTCAGAAGTTTGAAGGCAGCAGTGTTCCCAGGAGTTTGTAGAGTGGTTTGGAAACCCATTGAACTTTCATTTCCTAAATGTTATTATCACTGACCAATTTTTTCTATTAGGCAAAGAAAAAAGATCCCTTTGGTTCCAGAAAATCTCCTGAAAAAGAGGAAGGCTTATCAGGCCCTCAAAGCTACCCAAGCAAAGCAGGCACTTTTGGCAAAGAAGGAGGTAATATTGGGAGACCAGGAGGACTGTGTTAGAATTTGTATTGCGGGAATTTTACTCAGCATATGTTGAACTAGATTTGGTATTTTCAAGCTCCTCTCCCAGTTTTGTTTTTAATGTTTTTGTGGTTTGGGAGTTTTTTTAGTTGTAGTTGGATACAATACTTGTATGTATTTGTATGTGGTGCTGAGGATGGAATCCAATGGCTTGCAAGTGCTAGGTAGGCACTCTGAGCCACAACCCCAGCTCCCCCCCCCCCAGTTTTTTAATATACAAGATATCTGGTTTGTGTCTTCACTTAGCAAAGATTTATCCAACACCTGTGCAAGCAAAAATCTGGAATGGAGCTTAAGAAAAAAGTGAAGTGGAAAGTGCTCCTTCTAGATTCATTTTGAATTATTTTATTTTAGAGAACAAACCTGGCAAAAAGTGTATATAACAGGTTTGGTTGTTTACTAAATGTGCGGTGTTTTTTGTTTGTTTGTTTTTGATACCAGAGCAAAAACCAGGAGTATTTAACCATTGAGCAACATCCCCACCTTTTTTTTGGGGGGGGGGTGTTGGGGATTGAACCCAGGGCCTTGTGCATGTGAGGCAAGCATTCTAACCAACTAAGCTATATCCTCAGCCCTTTATTTTTATTTTGAGACAGGGTCTTGCTAAGTTGCTGAGGCTGGACTTGGGATCTTCCTGCTTCAGCTGGGATTAGAGGCATGTACCACCATGCCCAGCCACTAAATGTCTCTGAATATACGTGTATTTTGGAGACAAGGAAACAAATGCTCAGTTTGTACCTAACATAATGTTGGTAAACATTGGTTAACAGCATGTAAACTAATTTTTTGTTTGTGTATCAGAAACTTCTCTAAATAGCCAGGTGCTGTGGAGCATCTCTGTCATCCTGTCAATTCAGGAACCTGATGCAAGAGGATCTCAATTTTAAGAATCAGCCTCAGCAACTTAGCAAGACCCAGTCTAGAGTAAAAAATTAAAAAGGCTGGGGGATGTCACTTTATCCCAGTGAAATCCCAGTGCCAAAAAAAGAAAAGAACTTCTCCCAGTAATTCTAGAATTTTCTCAACTCCCTGTACTTGGGTTTTTTATTTTTCCATTGTATAACAGAGTCAGCTAGGTGTGGTGCATATGCCTGAAATCCCAGTCAATTGGGAGACTCAGGCAGGAAGATCACAAGTTTGAGGCTGGCCTGATCTACATAGCAATACCCTGTTTAAAAAAGATATAGAAATATGCTTATTTGCTTTCCTTTGAAGAACATGAAACTCATGAATTACTGTTTTGGAATTAAAGATGAGTATAGGCACAGAGTGGTGATGATGGTCTGTCTTCTCTGTAACAGAGAAAAGGAAAAGAATTCAGATTTAAGCGACTGGAATCATTCCTACATGATTCCTGGCGGCAGAAACGTGACCACGTGCGCATCAGACGACTAGAAGTAAAACCTCATGCTTTGGAAGTACCTGATAAACATTCCTTGGCCTTTGTTGTACGCATCCAAAGGTATAGTACTGATGTCTTTTCAGATTCCCTGAGGTTATGGGTTCTTTTAGGTCCCTCTAGGGAGATACAAAGATAGTAAGGGCCTAAGCCACTATGGAAAATTATGCAAAGAATTGATGAACCCAACAAATATGGTCTTTGTCTGCAACATTAGGAAAATAGATTTACTAGTAGTGTTATAGAGTAAATTGCAGGATTGGAGATGGTGCTTGAGGACACTTTCTCTAAAGCAAGAACTTAAATCTGCAACTGGAAAGACATGGAAGGCGTTCACCAGTGTTGGGAAATGGCTTTCCAGCCATATATATAATGTTTTGAAATGAAGGGATTGAGACATCTTTCAAGGAACTAAAGCAAGGCTGAGTGGATGGAGCATTTTCGGTGCTATAAAGAAACTTATACATTTAATGGTATTTCCCTTATGTCCCTACCCTTACATACAATAGTGTACTTCTTACTGTGAGGTCTGTGAGTTTTAAATATTTACAAGCTCTGTCTTTAACCCTTCTACCATGGCCTATAATCTCTTTCATGACTGGATTTCTATGCAATCTCAGATCTGACCTGTAGGCTGCCTCTGGTAATGGTCAGAGATAAATCCGGTCATCTCCTTTTTGCTCAAAATTTTCAGTAGCTTTTGCTGCCCATAGAACAAGTCCAAGTTCCTTAGCCAGACATGCAAAATCTTATGTACTCCTTTCTTCACAAATTCATGGACCATCTCTGTTATCCCATAGCACCTTAGACACTGTTCCACATAACAGGAAAACCATCAATTTGTAAACCGTCTTCCACTAAACTGAACCCTCCCATCAATTTGGAAGGCTGAGGCAGGAGCATCACAAGTACAAAGCCAGCCTCAGCAACTTAGCAAGGCCCTGTCTCAAAATAAATATAGGGGGCTGAGGTTATGGCTCAGTGGTAGAATGTTAACCTACAACATGTGAGGCACTGGCTTCATGCCTCAGCACCACGTTAAAAAAATAATAACAAAGTTAGAAAAATAAATATAGGGCTGAGGATATAGCCCAGTGGTAAAGTGCCCCTGCCCCAGAACAGACGGACGGACATACATTCATACGCAAGCAAACTAAGAACTTTAAGGCATGGTCTCTTCTCTGCCAGTGTGGTGTGACAAATTTCATAAGTGCTTACTGAAGTGACATAAACTGGAGAGAGCCTGATTTCTGTTACTGTTTGTTTCAGGATTGATGGGGTGAGTTTACTGGTACAGAGGACCATTGCAAGACTTCGTCTGAAGAAAATATTTAGTGGTGTCTTTGTTAAAGTCACCCCCAAAAGCCTAAAAATGCTACGGATAGTAGAACCTTATGTGACCTGGGGGTAAGTAAGGTTTTCTCTGTGAATTCACAATAGCTTGTATTTCAGTGTGTGAGTGTGCACAAGATATTACTTTCATGTCACTATGTTGGACATTGAGTGTGATCATAGTCACCAGAAATCAAGAACTTTGGCACATGGGACAGGCCAAGGGAGGAGATCAGTGATGCTAATAATGGTCTGACATTACTATAGCAGGGCTTAGGCTGAGTGAGATGAGTAAAAGAGCTGGATACAGTGGCTATGACCGTAGACAGGGAGGATGATTTCAAACTGAAGCCAGCCTGGGCAAATTAGTGAGATCCTATCACTAATTTTAAAAAGGGGTAGGGATGTTAACTTAGTTGTTAGGCACTTGCCTAGCATGCAGAGGCCCTGGGTTTAATCCCCAGAACCCACCCACCCCCCCCAAAAAAAAAAAGAGAGAGAGACCATTTGGAGTCTTGAAACTGAACTAGTAGCAGTGCTTATAGTATTCCTCAAACATTAAAATTCAACAGAAAGGTAGTGAATACCTTAATTCCAGATACTTGAGAGGATTGTGAGTTCGAGGCCAGCTTGGGAGAGCAGTGAGAACCAGTTTCAAAAACAAAATAAGCTGTGCGCCGCTGTGCGCCACTGTACCGCCTGTAATCCCAGCAGCTGGGAGGCTGAGAGAGAAGGGTCAAACTAGCCTCAGGAAAAATGAGGTGCTAAGCAACCCAGTTAGACCCTATCTCTAATACGAAATAGGGCTGAGGATGTGGCTCAGTGGTCAAGTGCCCCTGAATTCAATCCTGGTACCAATAAAATAAAGTAAAACCCCGAAAAGGCTTAGGTTTAATTCTAACTCTTAAACCATCTTGAGTAAACTGTAAGCCAGGTAGTGGTTTTGTTTTATCTGGGTGTTTTTATCACCCACTCCACTTTCTACCAGGTATACACTACTAGTGAGCTGCACCTATAGCTCTGTCTTTTTTTTTTTTTTTTAATACCTTCATTTTATTTATTTTCATGTGGTGCTGAGAATGAAACCCAGTGCCTCATACATATAAGGCAAGCACTTTGCCACTAAACCACAATCCCAGCCACCACCACCACCACCCTCTTTATTTTGAGGCAGGATCTTGCTAGGTTGCTCAGGCTGACTTTGTAATGATCCTGACTCGGCCTCCTGAGTAGCTGGGATTATAGGCATGTGCTGTTGCACCTTGCTGGAAACAGTTTTTTTGCTTGATGAACACCTATATCTATAAATTTAAATTTCTGGTTTCCCTTTCCTAGCCAGGGCTACTCTGGTTAGTTGTTTTGCTGTTTTTGTTTGTTTGGTTTTACTTTTTTAAAAATTCTAATTAGTTATACGTAACAATAGAATGCATTTTGACATATTGTACACAAATGGAACACAACTTCTCATTCCACTGGCTATACTTGGTGCAGAATCACTCCAGTAGTGTAATCATACCTGTATATAGGGTAATAATGTCTCTCTTTCTACCGTCCTTCCCATCCCCACAGCCCCGTTCCTCCCCTCTCACCTCTACACAAACCAAAGTTCAATCATTCTTCTCTACCCCCTCACCCCCCACCCTGCCCTGCCCCACCCCACTATGGATCAGCATCTGCTTCTCAGAAAACATTAAGCTTTTGTTTTTTGGGGTTTGGCTTGTTTCACTTAGCATGGTATTTTCTAGTTCCATCCATTTACTTGCAAATGATATAATTTCATTTTTTAAGGCGGAGTAATATTCTGTTGTGTATGTGTACCACATTTTCTTTATCCATTCATCTGTTGAAGGGCATCTAGGTTGGTTCCATGGTTTAGCTTTTGTGAATTGAGCTGCTGTAAGCATTGATGTGGCTGCATTACTATAGTATGCTGATTTAAGTCCTTTGGGTATAGACTAAAGAGTGGGATAGCTTGGTCAAATGGTGGTTTCATTCCAAGTTTTCTAAGGAATCTCTATACTGCTTTTCAGATTGGTTGCACCTACCAGCAATGTATGAGTCTGCCTTTTTCCTCACATCCTTGCCAACATTTATTATTGCTTGTATTCTTTTTTTTAAAATGTATTCCTTTTTTTAAATTTATTTTTTACATACATGACAATAGTGGAATGTCTTACACTCATTATTACCCATTTACAGCATAATTTTTCATAACTCTGTATATAAAGTATGTTCACACTAAAATTATGCCATTATACATGTATTGCTTGTATTCTTGATAATTGCCATTCTGACTGGAGTGAAATGAAATCTTAGAGCACTTTTGACTTGCATTTCTGTAATTGCTAGAGATGTTGAACATTTTCTCATACATTTGTTGATTTTGTACTTTTTATATTTCTTCTTCTGTTAAGTATCTGTTCAGTTCCTTAGCCCATTTATTGATTGGGTTGTTTTTTATGGTGTTAAGTTTTTTGAGTTCTTTATATATCCTGAAGATTAGTGCTCTGCCACTCTGTTTTTTTTTTTTTTTTTTTTTTTTTAAGAGAGGGGGGGGAGAGGCTGAGAGAGAGAGAATTTTTAATATTTATTTTTTATTTCTCGGCGGACACAACATCTTTGTTGGTATGTGGTGCTGGGGATCGAACCCGGGCTGCACACATGCCAGGCGAGCGCGCTACCGCTTGAGCCACATCCCCAGCCCCTGCCACTCTGTTTTTTTACCCCCTACTTCATTTGTGTATTCACAAGCATTTCAGCTTCTGATGATAAAATACTTCCTAGTGAGGGGATAGGCAGGATCACTTCTCCCACCTTTTCTTCTCAGACTGCAGAACTGAGTAGCCACTGTAATGCAGTATGCCAGGTGCCAGTTAAGGCTGTGCTTTATTCTGCCTCACATAGATTTCCAAATCTGAAGTCTGTCCGGGAACTCATCTTGAAACGTGGACAAGCAAGGGTCAAGAATAAGACCATCCCCCTGACAGACAACACAATGATTGAGGAGCATCTGGGTGAGTGCTGCAGTTTAAAGATCAGTGGGAGCAAAAAGCAAGCACCTTTAGTGGCTTTGATTTGGGGGTCCTAACAACATGCCAGGGTGCCCAGCTCTGGCATATAAAAGCTTGGTATATGCTGAACAAATGGTGACTAAAGGAATCTATGCCTTTATATATTTTAGGGAAGTTTGATGTCATTTGTCTGGAAGACCTCATTCATGAAATTGCCTTCCCGGGGAAGCATTTTTGGGAGATCTCTGGATTCTTGTGCCCTTTCCACCTCTCTGTTGCTCGTCATGCTACCAAAAATAGAGTGGGTTTCCTCAAGGAGATGGGCTTACCTGGCTATCGGGGTGAACGCATCAATCAGCTCATCCGCCAGCTGAACTAAACACAGGTGAGGCAGGGCTGAAAACTGCTCTTGGTCTGACTTTTAATGAGCCATGCCTTGTCACTTGATAGAGGTCTTGCCTAGCATGCATAAAACCTTGGGTTCAGTCCCCAGGGCCACACACACAAAAAATTACAGGCTAGAAAACTTCTCTCTTGCTGTGGTTGTTTAACTGAAGTAGGGAGAAACTAATTCAAAAAAGAACATTTTCTTTCTAATTTTTTTGTTGGTGCATTATTATAGTTGTTCCCAAAAGATTTTTAAAATATTTTTATTAGTTGTTCATGGACCTTTATTTTATTTACTTATTTATATGTGGTGCTGAGAATCAAACCCAGTTTTTTAAGTTGTTGATGGACCTTTATTTTATTCATTTATTAATATTTGGTACTGAGAATCAAATCCAGTGCCTCACACATGCTAGGCAAGAGCTCTACCACTGAGACATAACCCCAGCCCAAGTCATCTGTTTTGTGTAAGGAATCTTAACTGTTTGAAAATGCTTTTTATTGCTGCGGATATTACTATTAGGTGTCAGATTTCAGTGAATTTGTATTGATAGAGTTGTATTTTTCTCCCTCAGAATATCTGAAAGCAGTGCATCGGAAGCATGTGTTCTGTTGGATGGAAATGTTGTCAAGTATCTTCACAGAAGATTATTTTCTGCCTTAAGAAACTGGAAGGAAGGGATTGGGGAAGAGACATTAGATTATGATCATGGCAGGCACCTCTCATCACAGCCCAGTTCCAAGGAAAATTGTTTTCCACGTTGACCACTTCTGCTCTTCGGTTTAATATTGGTGAATGAATTACCCCAGCATGTGTACAAGTCTCCCTAAGCCTCTTGCAGCAGTGGACCAAGTCCAGGAGCATACTTGAATCTAGAGGTCCCAAGAGCCTTGTTTTGAAAAGACTTAAAATACTTGGGAAGAAAGCACAAAAACTAAGTACTCTTATGTCTCTGTTGTGAGTCCATGTTTCACCTTTCGCCTGACAGTTTTGTGAACTATCATACTTGCCTTGGCTCTAAGTGTATGGGGAGCTTTTCTATCCTATTCTGCAACAGACTTAAGTTCCCTTCACTAGCTCAGAGGTTAAGAAAGGAGGAACCTTTCACCCTGAACACAACATACTCAAAATTTTGCTTAGAATTTCAGGGTGTTCATAGACCCTTCTCTTTCAGGATTTACACATCTTCTCTGAGGAAGACTTGTTCTTATTAGCATTTGGTCACTCAGGCCGTGATCTTGCTAGTCTTCTGGTTCCATGACTTGCAGAAGACCAAAGTTCACCCAGCCAATTGTGTTTCTATAAAGAACACAGTGGCACCCAGGTGCAGTGGCACACACCTGTAATCTCAACAACTCAGGAGGCTGAGGCAGGAGGATTGCAAATTTGAGGCCAGCCTCAGTAATTTAGTAAGACCCTGTCTTGAAAATGTAAAAAAGTGTGTGGGGGGATGTAGCTTAGTGGTAAAGCACCCCTGGGTTCAATCTTCAGTGCCAAAAAAAAGAATAGAGTGATGGATTTTTCATTTTCTACGTCATCTATAATTACATTACTGACTATTTTCTCCCCTGGGATTCAGGATGCAATTTCCAGGTTTTCCTGATTAGCATTCTGCTTAAAATCCAGATTAGGAAGAAGGGAGCCATTTTCTTGTTTTGGCATGAATGAAATTAGAACTATTTTGACTTTTTAGAACCCAGGCAGGCAACTCAGTTGGATTTTTTTCCCCCTTATTGTGGACTTAGGAAGTATTGTCCTTTATCTTCTAGTAATGAGGGAGATCAACAAAGCTTCTGGGGATTCTAATCCTGAAAAAAGTGGATACTATTTATCTTCATCAGTGTCTACCCTTAAAAGTGGTACTTCCCTCTATTCCCTCTTGATTGTTTTTTTTTTTTTTTTTTAAGAGAGAAGAGAGAGAATTTTTAATATTTATTTTTTAGTTCTCTGCAGACACAACATCTTTGTTGGTATGTGGTGCTGAGGCTCGAACCCAGGCCGCACAAATGCCAGGCGAGGGCGCTACTGCTTGAGCCACATCCCCAGACCCCCCTCTTGATTGTTTTAGTGTTGCGGTCCATAACTAAACACTCAAGGTCACTCCAGGTGAACTGGGCTGACAAGAAATAATCACACAGAGGCAGAAATGCCTTTTAAAAGGAGTCTGAGGAAAGGGATCAGGTTTCAGGGAAGGTTGAGTCTAGCTTTGTGATGTCTGCTCTTGGCATATTGACTGACTTTTGATGGGCCATGCCCATCTCATGAGCTGTGGGGATCATGGCAGAACAAGTAAAAAGACCAGAGTGAGGCCTGCCCAGAGAAGCAACATCGACTCAGTCTACTTTGTGTGCTCAGTGCTCATAGTTCACACACACACAGCCATGGCTGGCTTGCCATATCCCACGTTTTTACCCCTCGGGGCTAAGGGGCACTCAGTTCCCATATGGCAGCTCCCAACACTTCAGCTTACCATCTAAGAGCCCAGTTAAACTGAGAACATGCTTAACCATGTTCCTTTGGGATCAGCTCTGCAGCAGTTTTGGCTCTTAAGACCCTTGAGTACAGCTATGAAAATTGAGCGAAAGGTATAGGAATGCCTTAAAATGTGCCAGGTTATGAGGTAATTAATTGAGTTTGGTTCCAGAGTTTAATCTGCCAGAAACAGATGTTATTGTAAATGTTACTTTTTAATATTGGAGAGCATTGTGAAATCGGATTATTTTAAAATGACGTATTGCAAAGTAATGGAGAAATAGGTGTAGGAGGGAAGCCTTGGGATTTATATCCCAGATCTCTTACTAAATATGGAAACAGGCTGGGCTATAGCTCAGTGGTAGAGTGCTTGCCTAATATGCATGAGGCCCTAGGTTTAGTCTGCAGCACTGCAAAAATAGAGCTGATATCCTCTAGCTTGTTTGCCTTGCATGGTTGTTAAAACAAAAATGTTGTAGTTGTAGTTGGACACAATATCTTTATGTGGTGCTGAGGATCAAACCCAGGGCCTCACATGTGCACAGCGGGCTTTACCACTGAGCCCCAGCCCCAACAAAAATGGTTTTAAATTTATAATCCTACATGAATAAATTTTCATAAATTGTGCGCTTACCTCTGTGATTCATGCTATAACATTCCCTGAGCAAGTTATGGGACTATCCTTATTTCAGGGAAAACCTCTATGATCTAACCATGATATTCTACTATGGGCTTTTTTTTGGGGGGGGGGTGCAGACAACATATACACCAGGTATGCTCTTGGTTTTGTAGGGGAAACAGTTAAAAAATCAGAGTAGTGGCTCAGGAGGCTGAGGCAGGAGGATTTCTAGTTCAAAGCCAGTCTCACAAAAGTGAGGTGCTAAAATAAATAAAATACAAAATAGGGCTGAGGATGTGGCTCTGAGTCACTGAGTTCAATTCCCCCACGCCCTGTGTGCCCCATACCCCCAAAAAAAGAAGAGTGTAAAAAAAGTAAATTGTGTGTGGTACTGGTGATTGAACCAAGGAGTGTTCTGCCACTGAGCTAGGCCCTTTGTTTTGCCCCTTTTGAGACAGTCTCAAATTGAGGCCAGCCTCAAAATTTTGAATCCTCCAGGCTTCCCAAGTTGTTGGAATTATAGGTTTGTGCCCCACACATGTCCTCTTCAGAAGGTGATTGTGTGAACTTTTCCTCTGCTATAATCTTCTAGCCCCTTACCTGACCCAGCTGGCTCTAGGAACCAAGGTTTTGTTTTTAATGCTTTGGAGTTATATTTAGTATTCTTCAAAGTCATTCTGAGGCCAAGTTTTATCCTCAACTTTAATTGCCCTCTAGAAAATGAGTATCACTTGAATTATTCTGTTACTACAAGAATAACGGGAACAGGTTCTGCACGTTACTAACAGGTCAGACCCTCTAGTGTTTTCAGGTGCTGGGATAAGCCCCTGGCCCTTGCAGGAGCTAGGCAAGGGCTCTGCAAGTGAGCTATACAGCCACCCACCCCCTACCCCCTTTGGTATCTCGTAACTGAAGACAGCGTCGCAGGTAGTAAAGTAGGAGACTTGAGTTCCATACACCGACTGGTACAGAATTTTTTAGAACTGATAAGCGTGGTCCAGAAATACCAATACAGAGCAACTCCTACGAGGCTCCCGAGAGAATCAGGTCCAGCTGAGACAGGTCAGAGCTTTGTTCGGAATCCAGGGTCGCAAGCTCGTGCCAGGCGCAGGCCCCAGCTGCAAAGGACCTCGAGTCACAGACGCCTGCCGTCTCCGCCGAGCTGGGCTCTTCCGGGGCCGTTCTTCTACCCGAGGGTCTTCGAACAGGATGGCAGGGGCTCCGGGGCCGCGGTGGCTCTGTTAGAGTTTGCGGAACCCGCGGCTTCCCAGGGCTTGGGCCTCCGCGGGAGCTGGGACGCCGTGGGGTCGCCGTGAGTCGCCGTGATGTGGCGTTTCTCCAGGCCCGGAAGTTCCCGGCCGTTCTGAACGAGATAGAGGAGCTGCGCCAGGGTCACCGAGGCCGGGGCTGCTTCAGCAGGTTGGCAGGGTCTGCCACAGCTACCCGAACTGCCACGCCGCTCCATCCTCGGCCACGAACCCTGGTTACGGTAACGAGAAAGCACTTCCGGGTGTGGTGGGTGCAACCACCGTGGGCGGAAACGAAGGGGAGGACGTAGACCACACCAAGCTGCCAAGACGGGCGGGGTGGGGGCACTGGAGAACGCTGACCAATTCCGCGCAGAAACGTTTCAAACGCAAAAATTTAGCCCACCCCGGAGTCCTCAACGAGTAATATATTTCAGAATAAAAAGGAAAAGACGCACCAAAATTTGAAGGCTTGCCCAGAATGGAACGTGCAATCGGACACATCTCTTCAAAGATGCAGAGGCACCACACACTCACACCTACTTTCATGCACACACACGCAGGCGCACTTCGCTTCCTTTTCTTTTTGCAGTGGTGATATTCGTTTTGTTTTGCAGAGCTTCTAGCGTGTTTGGCAAGCCTCTACAACTGAGCTACACCTCCAGCCCCTAGTGAATTTTTTAATCTGAGGATTGTGGGGACCCCCGAATTTGTAGTAGACGAATGGGTGACTTAGGGACTCTAAATTTACAGCTGGCACCTGAAGTAAAAGCTTCCTTGTTGGGAACAGTGCCTTTTAACTTGCAGGCTGTTCACTGACTGGATGGTGAGTGCCAGGAATTGCCGCACACCATTCGGTATTTAACAGACTACTGAATGAAGTGGGAACTCAGCCCTCTCTCTGTGGCCAGGGTCAATTGCCTGGGCAATCTCCTGCTGTTCTTGCCTCAGAATTCCTTCCTAACTCACCAGGTTCACTTTCTTCCTCAGAAGAGGTCATGGCTCCGCTCCCACCACCCTTACTTCGAGGCTCTGCTTTTCTGCTTCCTTATTACCATATGTCTACTAATCGAGTGTAGGATGGTCACATCTCTGTGAGGTTAAAACTAACCTTGGATGTCCTTGAAGGCCCAATAAATATGGAATTTGCTCAAAAATAAGGAGAGTACAATATATGAGTTTGGGAAATGGGAGTCATCTCAGCATTATCATTCTTATATTTTCATTTTGTCCCCAAGCAGGACAAGGCAACGAATTATGGATTATAAGGAGGGACCTCAAACACCACTAGTGCAACCCCCCTTAATACAGTAAACTGAGCCCAGGAAAGGAATAACCGAGCTGGGTTTAGAACATAAGCCTCCTGACTTTTAACCCGGTGCTGTCTCCGTGTAACAGCTGTATCTTCCTTGTTAGGGCCCAGCGGCCCCTGTCCTGTGGACAGTCATCCATGTGCATGAAGAAGGCAGGGAAACAAATATAATTGAGCTGGGTGCAGTGGCGCACACCTATAATCCCAGCAGGTGGGAGGCTGAGACAGAAGGATCAAGAGTTCAAAGCAAGCCTCAGCACAAGCGTGGAGCACCCCTGAGTTCAATCCTGGGTGAAAAAAAAAAAAAAACAAGGATAACTGAATAAGGCAAAGACAGAGACACAGATAAACCTCATCTAGGTGTGTCCAGAGCCTTTCTATGTATCAACCAAGACCACAAAGGCTTAGATGTTATTTCAGCAGAAAGTAGCAAGCAGAGGCATCAACCTCCATGACTATCTTAGATAGACTCTGAATAGCTTTAAGACATGAATAACTCACTAGACATCTTTCATCCACGATTTAATATTTTCCTTTTTTGGTCCTGGCAATCAAACCTAGAGTTCTGCACATGCTAGACAAGCACTACCACTGCGCTACATCCCCAGCCCCATGATTTATTTATTTTTTTAATAGACACAATATCATTATTTATTTTTATGTGGTGCTAAAGATTGAACCCAGTGCCTCACACATAGAAGGCAAGAGCTCTACTACTGAGCTACAGCCAGCCCCCCGTGATTTATTTATATTTATTATTATACTTTAAAAAAATTGTAGTTGTAGATGGAAAGCATGCCTCCATTCCATTTGTTTATTTTTATGCGGTGCTGAGGATTGAACCCAGTGCCTCACACATGCCAGGCAAGCACTATGCCACTGAGCCACATCCTCAGCCCCCAGCCCCTATTTTTATTTATTATTATTTTTTTAAGAGAGAGTGAGAGAGGAGAGAGAGAGAGAGAGAGAGAGAGAATTTTTAATATTTATTTTTTAGTTCTTGGCGGACACAACATCTTTGTTGGTATGTGGTGCTGAGGATCGAACCCGGGCCGCTCGCATGCCAGGTGAGCGCGCTACCACTTGAGCCACACCCCCAGCCCCTTATTATTATTATTATTTTAATTCTGTCTTAGAATTAAAATAATAGATAGAACAGGGACTGTCTTCAATGATCTTCGGCACAGGGAGAAAAATAAATCCATCACAGAAGGAAATGCCTTTCTGCTCCCTTGTTGTACCTTAGTTCATCCTTCAAAGGCTTTCCCTCAATGAGCCCGCAATTTCCATCCTTTCTTAGCCTCAGAATTAACCAATCCTGTTTCTATGCTCCCACAATCCCCGGCTCATCTCACTATGACCACGAATCTTACTCTAATCTATCTACATGTGCTTAGACCAGCACCTGTAGAGACCTAGTGGTGACTGTCAGCTGAAGTCAGAATGTGTCCTCTACAGCTCATGTGCTGGAAACTTAATCATCAATGCAACGGTTTTGAGAGAGAGGGCTTTTAAGATTTGATTAGCCCTCATGAATGGATTTATCTTGTTATCAGGAGAGTGGTTCATTATGCAAGAGTCTTTTTTTATTAATTTATATTTGGATGCTGGTCATGAAAATGAGTTCAGATCTCTACCTTGTTATGATGCAACAAGAAGACCCTCACAGACGCAGCCCCTTGATCTTGGACTTCCCAGCCTCCAGAATTATTTTTTAATTTATATCTTTATTTTTATGTGGTGCTGAGGATCAAACCCAGGACCTCATGCATGAGAGGCAAGCGTTCTACCACGGAGCTACAACCCCCAGCCTCCAGCTCCCAACCTCCAGAATTATAAGAAGCAATTTTTTTTTCTTTGTAAATTACCTAATCTCACCAGGCGCGGTGGCGCTCACCTGTAATCCCAGCAGCTCAGGAGGCTGAGACTGGAAGATCACTAGTTCAAAGCAAGCCTCAGCAAAAACGAGGCACTAAGCTGAGTTGTGAGACTCTTTCTATAAATAAAATACAAAACAGGGCTAGGGATGGGACTTAGTGGTTGAGTTCCCCTAAGATCAACCCACAGTAGCCCCCCCTCCAAAAAATTACCTAATCTCGGTATTCTGTTAAAGCAGCACAAAACAGAATAAGACACTGACTGATTGAGTGGGTTTGTTTTGTTTTGATTTGATTTGCAGTGCTGGGGATTGAACCCAGGGGCATTCTACCACTGAGCTACATCCCCAGCCCTTTTTATTTTCTATTTTGAGACAAGGTCTCTCTAAGTTGCTGAGGCTGGCCTTAAACTTGAGATCCTGCCTCTGCCTGAGATGTATCACCATGGCAGGTCAGATATTTTCTTATAATAGATTCAAGTGGGCTGGGGTTGTGGCTCAGTGGTAAAGCACTTGCCTCATATGTGTGAGGCACTGGGTTTGAATCTCAGGACTGCATATAAATAAATGAATAAAATAAAAGTCCTTCAACAGCTGAAAAAAATGTTTAAAAAATATAATAGATTCAAGTGCAGATTGAAGTCATGACTGAATGCAACTCCAAGCAAGCTTGATGGAGTGCATTTGGCCATACACAGTGCCAAGTGCTGGCTGGCACACAGATTCCCCAGTCTCAGGGGCTCACAGCCTACCAAGGGAAAACATTAAAGAAGTAAGTCATTATGATGATTTATGATCTACATACCTCATAGAATTTATTAAATAAATGATACAGTGTAGTACTGAGTGTGGTAACAGTGTTATATGCCAAGCAAAATAAGGGGTTCACACATTATACGGGTTTTAAGGTGTATTTGATTTTCTCCACACACAAAATGTTCCTGTGGTCACTTCCTAGCCTATAGGGCTGGCCCAAGTCTGACTTGGAAGCCAGACCAAGTCCCAGTCCTATTCCACTTCTAAGCTGTGAGATTTGGAGCATGTTCTCCCACTTATCTCCGCTTCACTTTTCCTATCTGCAAAATGAGGGGGATAATGGCATCTCCCCCGCAGGACTGTCCACTGGGTAATTGGGATAATGAGTGATGTTCAACAAAGGCAGTTATTAAGATCCTTCTCAGAGGGGCAATTAAACCAGTCTCCTCCTTGGCCCCCCCAGGCCCTCTCTACCCTTGCCCATTCAGCCTCCTGGACACCAGCATCCTCAGGTACCTTCAGTAGGCTCATTGCCCCCTGGTTTGGAGGCTTGGGGGGTTGGCCAAGGGGAGGGGGAGAGCAATAGAAGGAGGGAGGAGAAAGATGCCAGTGTATTTCTTCCTCAGTTTCCCTCCCTCCAGGATCACCATGGGCAGCAGGGTCCTCCGCAGACACTGCTTCCTCCCCTCACTCCTTCAGGCAAGTTTCTAGACCCAGACATTACACTCTTAGGGTCTCCCTTTGCCCTGTCCACACGTCTGTAAATAGATCCTTTATTAAACTCTCCTCAAATTACCCAGTGTCAGGTAATCATCTGTTTCTTGCTCATACTCACCCATAAAGAAGTTGACTCCAGGAGCAGCCTCAGACCAGGTACTGGGATTGTATCAATTATAAATTCAAGGAGTACAGGAGAAGCCTTTCTGTGGAAGGGGAAATGCACCCAGGCGACTCATGGCATGTGGAGATGATATCATTAGTCAAATTATCTTTGAGGATAGCAGGGACTGATGCATAGGGAAAGTGGGGAGATAGGAGATGAGTGACTGGTTCTTTTTTAAAAATACTTTTAGTTGTAGCTGGACACAATACCTTTATTGTATTTATTTTTATGCGGTGCTGAGGATTGAACCCAGTGCTCCACACATGGTAGGCAAGCCCTCTACCACTGAGCCACAACCCCATCCCCGAGACTGGTTCTTTGTGGCATGGAGTCAGTCACTGGCTTCTTCTGATGGCCACAGGGAACACACAGAGGGGAAAGGAGAACCAAAAGTTATCTTATCTTACAGAGTTGTGAGCAAGCACCAAAGCACCTCAATGGTAGCATGGAGGAGTCCCCTTCTACACACACAGGGCATAATGCAGCTGAGGACTGGCCAGGGAGGTCATCATAAGGTTCCCCAAGTTTCAGCTCTCCAGGTTTAAGTAATGGTCTGTGAGGTAGGAGCCCTAAGATGGGACAGAGACTTTTGTGTGTGTGTGTGTGTGCTGCTGGGGATTGAACCCAAGTTCTTGTGCTTGCAAGGCAAGCCCTCTACCAGCTGAGCTATACCCCCATCCCAGGACAGAGACATTTGAGCAGCCATGAACAAGGCC